CCAAAAGAGTAACAGTACTGGAGGGGACCAGATGGCATGAAATCTGGAATCTTTGCTTATTCAAAAAAGACCTGTGTAACATTACTTAATGCATGCGCAATATATATGCAGAATGGCAAAGCCAACAAATGTTCCCTAGCTGCATGGACATAGAAATAAAGGTTTATATATAGATCTTTTGGCAATAAAATGGGATCAAACAATAAAGACAACAAACCTTCACAAAGCCATATTTTATTATGCATCTAGGCCAACCATCAATTTCAAGGTGTAAGGTGTTTACTTCTCTTGCAGCCCAGCTGATCCACACCGTGATTATGCCAACTATAACGTATAGCCTATATTCCACTACTAACTTACCTCCAAATATGGAACTCCTTTTTCAAAGGACTGTGGATATTCCCGAAGAAGACGCTCTTCATCCAAAAACTTGGCATCTCTTCCGTTGGTCGCTGGTTGGAAGAGACCATAGTTGAGGACGTCTTTTAGACTCTCGTTCAAGGTGCACAGTATCTGCTGCTTTGCAACCCAGATGGTGGCATCTGGATTGAATCTGAGGCATTTCTGCAAAATCAAAAAACATGCACGTGAGCAACTGTATCAAACATGTCCCAAAGCGGCCCAACAGCACCTCACACTAATAGATATAGTTTAGTAACATATCCCATTTGTTGATTATTGTACAGTAACAGTCAAAGATTAATCTACAGGAATGACACTCTGAAACCTCTCTTGCATAGGTTAACTCTAGCTCAGTGGTTCTGAAAGTAGATGGTAAGGCTCTCCATTGGTTTGGGATTTCTTTCAAAATTGATGAATCTAATAAAATGTGGATTAATTTTGGTCAGGGGTAGAGTTGAGCGAACCCAGACTGTAAAGTTCGGGTTCGTACCGAACATTAAGTTTTTTGGACCCTGGACCCGAACATGGACATATCACTGTATGTTTGAGTTGGAGTACGGTGTTCGGCGATTTAATGGCACGTTTTGAAAGGCTGCAGGGCAGCCAATCAACAAGCGTTTGACTCGTGTGCCCTTAGAAGTCATCACAGCCATGTCTACTAATGGCATGGCTGTGATTGGCCAGTGCAGCATGTGACCCAGCCTCTATATAGCTGGAGTTGCGTAGCGCCGCACGCACATGAGATCTTATTAGTGTAGGGAGAGGATGCTGCCGCTGTGAGGGACAGCTTAGGAAAGAATTCTACAAACTAGTACATTAGTGGTGTGCACTTCAAATCTGAGAGTCAAATAGAAACGTCAAATACCGCGGTTACATAGGAGTTTAAAAAGTCAAAATTTTTGGGTGCTAAATAGTACATTAGTGGGGTGCACTTCATACCTGAGAGTCAAATAAAAGCGTCAAATACTGCTGTCACATTACAGTTTTAAAACTTAAATTTTTTTGGGTGCTAAAAAGTACATTAGTAGGGTGCACTTCAAATCTGAGAGTCAAATAGAAGCGTCAAATAGTGCGCTTACTGCACAGTTGTAAACATTCTAATTGTTTTGGTGCTAAACTGCTAAATAGTACATTTGCGGCCTGCACTTCATATCTGAGAGTCAAATAGAAGCGTCAAATAGTGCGCTTACTGCGCAGTTGTAAAAATTCTAATAGTTTTTCTGCTAAACTGCTAAATAGTACATTTTGGGCGTGCACTTCATATCTGAGAGTAAAATAGAAGCGTCAAATAGTGCAGTTACTGCACAGTTGTAAAAATTCTAATTGTTTTGGTGCTAAACTGCTAAATAGTACATTTGTGGCTTGCACTTCATATCTGATAGTCAAAAAGAAGCGTCAAATAGTGCGCTTACTGCACAGTTGTAAAAATTTGAATTGTTTTGGTGCTAAACTGCTAATTAGTACATTTGCGGCCTGCACTTCATATCTGAGAGTCAAATAGAAGCGTCAAATAGTGCGATTACTGCGCAGTTGTAAAAATTCTAATTGTTTTGGTGCTAAACTGCTAAATAGTACATTTGTGGCCTGCACTTCATATCTGAGAGTCAAATTGAAGCATCAAATAGTGCGCTTATTGCGCAGTTGTAAAAATTCTTATTGTTTTGGTGCTAAACTGCTAAATAGTACATTTTGGGGGTGCACTTCATATCTGAGAGACAAATAGAAGCGTCAAAAAGTGCGCTTTCTGTACAGTTGTAAAAATTCGAATTATTTTGGTGTTAAACTGCTAAATAGTATATTTTGGGGGTGCACTTCATATCTGAGAGTCAAATAGAAGAGTCAAATAGTGTGCTTACTGCGCATTTGTAAACATTCTAATAGTTTTTCTGCAAAACTGCTAAATAGTACATTTTGGGGGTGCACTTCATATCTGAGAGTCAAATAGAAGAGTCAAATAGTGCGCTTACTGTACAGTTGTAAAAATTCTAATTGTTTTGGTGCTAAACTGCTAAATAGTACATTTGCGGCCTGCACTTCATATCTGAGAGTCAAATAGAAGCGTCAAATAGTGCGATTACTGCGCAGTTGTAAAAATTCTAATTGTTTTGGTGCTAAACTGCTAAATAGTACATTTGCGGCCTGCACTTCATATCTGAGAGTCAAATAGAAGCATCAAATAGTGTGCTTACTGCACAGTTGTAAACATTCTAATTGTTCTGGTGCTAAACTGCTAAATAGTACATTTTGGGGGTGCACTTCATATCTGAGAGTCAAATAGGAATGTCAAATAGTGTGCTTACTGCGCAGCTGTAAAAATTCTAATTGTTTTGCTGCTAATCTGCTAAATAGTACATTTTGGGGCGTGCTCTTCATATCTGAGAGTCAAATAGAAGCATCCAATAGTGCGCTTACTGCACAGTTGTAAACATTCTAATTGTTCTGGTGCAAAACTGCTAAATAGTACATTTTGGGGTCTGCTCTTCATATCTGAGAGTCAAATAGAAGCGTCAAATAGTGCGCTTACTGCGCAGTTGTAAAAATTATAATTGTTTTGGTGCTAAACTGCTAAATAGCACATTTTGGGGGTGCACTTCATATTTGAGAGTCAAATAGAAGCTTCAAGTAGTGCACTTACTGCGCAGTTGTAAAAATTCTAATTGTTTTGGTGCTAAACTGCTAAATAGTACTTTTTGGGGGTGCACTTCATATCTGATAGTCAAATAGAAGCGTCAAATAGTGCACTTACTGCGCAGTTGTATAAATTTGAATTGTTTTGGTGTTAAACTGCTAATTAGTACATTTTGGGGCGTGCTCTTCATATCTGAGAGTCAAATCGAAGCGTAACTTTGATTTGAATTTACTACATCTGTCCCTTGTTTCACACCTACAACACTTGTTATACAGATCTAAGTGACAGAAAACAGATTGATATTTTCTACACTAGAAACTACCAGATAACAAGCTGCTATATTTAAACCAGTTATCAATAGCTAAGAGGTACTTAAACAATATTGTAATTCTGGGGCAATACCCTCACAAGTCAAACTGAGAGTTCAGTTTATAGGGAAAACTGTTGCCTGGATACAATTCTAAAACAATTTCCATATGTCCTTTGTAGACTTTACATACTGGAAAAACACAGGTGCCAACTGCTGTGGCTTTCTGCAGTGTGCATACCGGCAAGGAGGGCAGGGTTGAGGAGTGGGTGGAAGATGATGTGGAGGATGATGAGGTACTAGACCACACATGGAATCAAGGTCATGCGAGTGATGTGTGCAGTTTGGAGGAAGAGGCGCTGGTTGCACAGAGGCACCAGCACAGCATAAGAGGGAGCAGGGTGCAAAAGCGGAGTGGCCGCCCCCTAGTGCTCGTTGGCATGTATTAGCTTGAGAATTACCAGTTATCCAAGTAATAGATGTAGCGATCAAAGAATCCATAATAGAGTTGAGCGAACTCAAACTGCAAAGTTTGGGTTCGTACCAGATTTAAAGATCCATTCGTAGTTTCACAGTCAGGTGGGCAGTCCGGTGACCAGGACCCAGACACTGTCTGGGCAGTGGTCGGATGACCGGGACCCAGTATGCCTGATGTTGAAGTTAGGAGTCACAGTGTGGAATGGATTAGCAGGGTCTGGTGCAGGATAACCGCACGCCCCCTGGTGTTTCGCACCAGCGTTTGTGCGGCCACATACCAGGACCCTGATGCAGCTTCAGTAAAAAGAGTACTGGATACCAGAAGCCATCACCAGACTGATCCGCAACTTGGAACAGGATGTGACATTCACTGTAGCCGCTGTGCGCACTTTAGGCATTGTGAGCGTCCCTGGGGCGGAGCATTTGGAGAGCAGGGTGGGCCAATGCTCCAACAACACTAGTTGCTGTGTAACAGACCTGAATTCTGATTTAGCTTAAGAGTTTACTAATTGGCATTCACCTGTAGCTGGTCAATTAGCAGACAGTCCTTTAAAAGAAGAGATCAGCCTGCTGCAGAGTGAGGAAGAAAAAGCCAGCTAGGAGAGCTGAAGGAAAGAGAACAACAATTGTGTTTATTGCAAAGCTATTTTGTTTTTTTGGGGGGGAAATTGGTAAGTGTGAAAGCCACCCAATTACAGATAGTGATTTCTGTCTAGTAAGAGCTCAAGTAAGAGCAAGGGATTTTGTTTTGTTTATTATTATTTAAAGCAGCTGTTTTTCCTATCAAATAAAAAAGGAAAACCGAACTGAATGTGTCCTGGACTTTGTATACCCTAGAAGGCTGTGGTTTATTGTAAGATCTATGACAAAATCCTATCTGTAAAAGAGGTGGTTCGTTACAGCGTTTTCATCCTGCTGCTGCTGCTCGCCTGTCTGTGCTGCAGCGTAAGTTTGGCCTTCCCGCTCACTGCCTCATATGCGACATGCCCACAAGGTGGAACTCCACCTTGCACATGCTGGAGAGACTGTTCGAGCAGCAGCAGGCAATAGTGGAGTTTCAGCTGCAACATGCACGGGTCAGTGGCTCTGCACCGACTTGCCCTCCAAATGATCAGAGTTAAAGGATTTCAAGTGGACTCATTACAATTACAGGGCCTCTAAAGAGTCCTGTATTGTTATTTGTTGTCACTACCTTCCCGCGTAGGGAGTGGGTCATTTGCGTGCCTGCTGCCTTCCTTGCATGTGGTAGCCATTTGTCAGGGTCCCTGTACGGAATGGAACCCTGATTCCCCGTTGCCCATGGTCACCATGGTAGGCGCAGTCAATGGCATCGAAAGTTGATATGGATTGACATACGAATGCGTCGTCGCCTTCTCGTTGGGGAGCACAATGAAAAAGTGCTCTAGCATGGCGAGCTGGGTGATCTTCTTCGGGAACTTGGCTTGATGGGAGTTGAGCCAGTTCTGGGTGGCCCTTGTGATGCCACGGTGTATACCCAGATATATCAGACCAGCTGCAGAAAGTGCGGGCCATCTGTGCGCGCTTTTGGCGTTCTCACCCTGCTGCTGCTCGCCTGTCTGCTCTGCAGCGTAACTTCAGCCTTCCCGCTCACCACCTCATGAGACTATGCGAGGAACAGCAGGCGATAGTGGAGTTTCAGATGCAGCACGCACAGGTCAGTCGCTCTGTGGAACAGTTTTCTTTTTTCGTATGTACCAATATTTTGGGGGCTACCCCAATTAAAATAAAAAATATATATAAACAGTGTTGGCTACCTCCTCCTCCACCGCCGCTTCCACCTACACCGCCACGGTCACCGTCTCCTCAACCTATGGGTCACTTAGTATAAACTATGTACACAATAGCAGAGGCTTGTGAAGGCCTTTTCTCCACGCATCAGGAGTTGAGCATTTCTCCATGCATCAGGACTGCAAGAAATGCACCGCAGGCCGCAAATGTTTCTTTTCTTGTATGTCCCAATATTTTGGGGGCTATCCCAATTAAAATAATATATATATATATATATATATATATAAACAGTGTTGGCTACCTCCTCCTCCTCCTGCACCGCCGCTTCCACCTACACCGCCACGGTCACCGCCTCCTCAACTTATGGGTCACTTATTATAAACTATGCACACAATAGCAGAGGCTTGTGAATGCCTTTACACCATGCATCAGGAGTTGAGCATGTCTCCATGCATCAGGACTGCAAGAAATGCACCGCAGGCCGCAAATGTTTCTTTTTTTGTATGTCCCAATATTTTGGGGGCTACCCCAAATAAAAAAATAAAAATAAATAAAAATAAATAAATATATAAAAAACAGTGTTGGCTACCTCCTCTTCCTCCACCGCCGCTTCCACCTACACCGCCACGGTCACCGCCTCCTCAACCCATGGGTCACGTAGTATAAACTATGTACACAATAGCAGAGGCTTGTGAATGCCTTTTCTCCATGCATCAGGAGTTAAGCTCAGTTTAAACAATGAAAGAGAATACCCTGCACTCCAACCCTCTCTCAAATGGATAATTCTGTTGATCCTTCTGACAGCCACGCTTTAGATTTTGATTTATGTTCTTCCAAAGCTAAAATCAAAGATTCCTCTAGTGTTATTTTATGGCTCAGCTGTAATTTTAATTTTTATGTTATTTTAAGTGATTTCCCTATCCACATTTGTTTGCAGGGCACTTGTCCTACTCTTGCCCCCATCATGTACCGGGTCAAGTTCGATCACGAACCCGGACTTTTTTTCAAAGTTCGGCTGAACCCACCAGACTCGAACATCCAGGTGTCCGCTCAACTCTAGTCAGGGGGAGTGCATAATCGTGCTCTTTTTTAAAGTACTACAAAAAGCATATGATTTTATTTCAGCTGAAAGTTTGATCTTCTGCCAGGAAACAAATTGTAATGTTTTATTTCTGATGCTCTTAGTGGACGTCACAATGTACATTCCAATGTCTTCTGTGCAATGTTCCTTCAAATGCACCTATACCTATAGTGAGGGGAAAAAGTATTTGATACCCTGCTGATTTTGAACGTTTGCCCACTGACAAAGAAAGGATCAGTCTATAATTTTAATAGTAGGTTTATTTTAACAGTGAGAGACAGAATAACAAAAATAAATCCAGAAAAACGCATGACAAAGAAGTTATAAATTGATTTGCATGTCAATGTGTAAAATAAGCATTTGACCCCTTCGATTTGGTACATGGTGGCAAAACCCTTGTTGGCAGTCACAGAGGTCAGATGTTTCTTGCAGTTGGCCACCAGGTTTGCTCACATCTCAGGAGGGATTTTGTCCCGCTCCTCTTAGCAGATCCAAGTCATTAAGGTTTCAAGGCTGACATTTGGCAAATCGAACCCTCAGCAGCCTCCACAGATTTTCTATGTGATTAAGGTCTGGAGACTGGCTAGGCCACTTCAGAACCTTATTGTGCCTCTTCTTGAGCCACCCCTTTGTTGCCTTGGCTTTGTGTTCTGGGTCATTGTCATGTTGGAATACCCATCCACAACCCATTTTCAATGCCCTGGTTGAGGGAAGGAGGTTCTCACCCAAGATTTGACGATACGTGGCCCTGTCCATCGTCCCTTTGATGCCATGAGGTTGTCCTGTCCCCTTAGCAGAAAAACACCCCCAAAGCATAATGTTTCCACCTCCATGTTTGATGGTGGGGATCGTGTTCTTGGGGTCATAGGCACATTCCTCCTCCTCCAAACACGGCGACTTGAGTTGATGCCAAAAAGCTTGATTTTGGTCTCATCTGACCACAACACTGTCACCCAGTTCTCTTCTGAATCATTCAGATGTTCATTGGCAAAGTTCAGATGGGCCTGTACACATGCTTTCTTGAGCAGGGGTACCTTGTGGGCGTTGCTGGATTTCAGTCCTTCACGGCGTAGTGTGTTACCAATTGTTTTCTTGGTGACTATGGTCCCAGCTGCCTTGAGATCATTAACAAGATCCTGCCATGTAGTTCTGGGCTGATTCCTCACCATTCTCACGATCACTGAAACTCCACGAGTTGAGATCTTGCATGGAGCACCAGACTGAGGGAGACTGACAGTTATTTTGTGTTTCTTCCAATTGCGAATAACTGCACCAACTGTTATCACCTTCTCACCAGGCTGCTTGGCGATGGTATTGTAGCCCATTCCAGCCTTGTGTAGGTCTACAATCTTGTCCCTGACATCCTTGGTGTTGGCCATGGTGGAGAGTTTGGAATCTGATTGATTGATTGATTGATTGCTTCTGTGGACAGGTGTCTTTTATGCAAGTAACTCTATTAAAGGGAGTGCTCCTAATCTCAGCTCATTACCTGTAAAAAAGATACCTGGGAGCCAGAAATCTTGCTTATTTCACTCATTAACATGCAAATCAATTCATAACTTTTTTTTTTTGCAATTTACATTTTTCTTTATTTTCCAAAAATTTTTCCAAAAAGGAAAAATAAACAAAAGAATAAAAAAAAAGGGGATACAGAAAGAAGAAAAGGGGTTGGGGTACAATCAGTAGTGTTACATTATTTCATCATATACTCATCGTACAATGTTATACTATACTCATACTACATTTAGATAAAGTTTATAATGCATACGTCCTGACCGCCTTTATTTTATTTTATTTTCCATGATAAATACTGGTGTGTCCACTATAAAATTCACCTCAGGGAAATTTAACCATTACAAAAATAAGAAAAAGAAAAGAGAAAAAAAAAAGGGAAAAGAAAATAAAATAAGATAAAATAAAATAAAATTCTCTCTACTCCGGTCTTCATATGATTTGGGTTAAGCTAACAATAGAAGCTTATATTCAATTTAGCTGCTTAATATTGTCAAAATACATTAGGTTAAGTTAAATGATTAAATTAAATTAAATGTCTTGCTTATTGTATATGTCTTAAATTGTATTCAAGCCCAACCAGGATAAGTAAATAGACTCATTTTAACACCTCATGTACACCCAACATATGTAATATACCACATCTCCCTTATATTACAGAGGTTCAATCCTGAAGGGCTGGGCCATTTCGTTTATTTCTACTGGGTTGAATTCTAAGTTGTATTTCTGATAGTAACCATAAAGAAATAAGTTTAATTTATCATGTCCTATACTAAATATATATTCCACATATCTATTAAACTTATTTCGTTATTATCTTTGTATATATTCATAACTGTTTTGACATGCGTTTTTCTGGATTTATTTGTTTGTTATTCTGTCTCTCACTGTTAAAATACACCTACTATTAAAATATAGACTGATCATTTATTTGTCAGTGGGCAAATGTTCAAAATCAGCAGGAGATCAAATACCTTTTTCCCTCACTGTACATTGATCAGACAGAACATGAAAAACACCTGGCTAACAAATGTAAACCTATTTAGTTTAGAAAAACATCGCCCGAGAGGGGATATGATAACATTATACAAATATATTCGGGGCCAGTAACAAACCATTGTGTGGAAATCTATTCACAAACCGGACTTTACATAGGACACAAGGCCATGCGTTTAGACTGGAAGAAAGAAGATTTCGTCTAAGGCAAAGGAAAGGTTTTTTTATTGTAAGAACAATCAGGATGTGGAATTCTCTGCCTGAAGAAGTGGTTTTATCAGAGTCCATACAGATGTTCAAACAGCTACTAGATGCATACTTTCAAAAACAGAATATTTAAGGATATAATCTTTCAATGTAGGGTAATAACTGCTTGATCCAAGGATAAATCTGTCTGCCATTCTGGGGTCAAGAAGGAATTTTTTTCCTAGCTTGTTGCAAAATTGTGCTTCAAACTGGGTTTTTTTGCCTTCTTTTGGATCAACAGCAAAAAACAAATGTGAGGAAGGCTGAACTTGATGGACGCAAGTCTCTTTTCAGCGATGTAACTATGTAACCTGCCTAATATCATTAGGTCCCCCTCGTGCTGCCCCTCATGCTGCCAAAACAGCTCTGATGCTTCCAGATATGTACTCCACAAGACCTCTAAATATGTCCTGTGGTATCTGGCTCTAAGACATTTGTTGCAGATCCATTGCATTCTGCAAGCTGCAAAGTAAGGTCTCCATGGATCAGATTTGTTCTTCTAGCGCATCCCACCAATGCTCAAACAGATTAATATCAGGGGAATTTGAAGGCCATATCAACACTTTCTACTTTTTTTCATATTTAAAGCCCTCCCTTTGCCCACTCCCCACTCCATTTCTCATTCCCTCCACTCCCTGGCTCAGAGCACACACGTATACTTTGAGCTTTGGAGAATGGTCCAATCAAATGTTCTCTATGAGAGGCATTTGATTGGACCTCAGAGTGACACAGTGTGACGACAGACAGGGCATGGAAATAAGTCTAGTGTTGCTGACACTAGATTCAAAGTAAGTTTTATCATACTTAATTAGAGGGTGAACAAGGGTAATAATG